GATCTGGAGAAAGCTGGTATGTTTTTCAACTTTAGACAATGTTTTATGAGTTCGAGGGCCCCGCTCACTTTGTTCTTCTCCGACAGATGGTCAGTCGTTGGTGGTGTGCTGGTTCTTCTAAAGAAGTAAATTTATCTGAAATTGACTTGATTTTTTTCATCCTACTTCGTCTATCCTTCGAGATTTCCTTGTCATAGATTTGGCATTTAGTAACTATGAGGAACCATCTTTAAGCTCAATTTGTAAACAAAGTAATTGGGAGTTAATGATGCTTTTTAAAAAGGCTAAAAAGCAACAATAAATGCTTTTTTCTCTTATGCAAAACCTAATGGTTTTATGGTTGCTTTTATAATGATAGAACACGTTTATAAAGTATTTTATAATGACATTAATAAACAATTGCTAATGACGTTTATGCTTGAATTATAGAACAGTTTTAAGGAGGGATTGATAACTGTTTTAAATTTATTTTTAAAACAAGACAGTTTTTGACTTTCTTGCCAGACTATAAAAGGTTTTTAAAACAGCAAAAAGCTGAATTCAATCTTGAAAAGCAGGAATGTTTTACACTTTAAAATGCTATATTTAAACTAAGTGGATTGTTCATTGCCATTATAAAACCATCATAAATCAGAGTGGATGCTAAATGGTTACTGAATTGCTACTTGGGATAAACGCTTTGAAAACTTCAAGATTTATTGTACAAGATTTAATCTGAGCTGGGAATTAGGAAAGCTTATATATAATACAGTTTTGGCGCCAGCGTTATTATACGGAACTAAAGTAGCGGTATTAACAAAGAAAAACAGAGTGGCACTAGCAAACTACGAAAAAAATATTCTAATGAACATTTTTAATAGCTGTAAATACCAAGTAATATGAAATTTATTGAAAGAAAAATTTTAGCAGGAAAAACAATAAATAGACGAGTTAGGGTAGGCAGAATAAGTTATTTTGGACAATTAGCGTATAGATTCAAATTCAACAAGAAAAAAGAGGGTAGACCAAGCCTTACTTAGAAGAAATCATTAAATCAGAAGAATGGAAAGAACTAGCTAAGGACAAACAAAAATTAAAAAAGAAAGTGGAAGAAATTTATAAGAATGTGGATAGCGAAATTTCAGATGATGTATTGACAGAGGAAGAAGGTCAAGGAAAAGGAAATTATAAACACTGGAAGAAAAAAGGATAAGACAGAGAATGTGTTACAAGGACTATTGAAAAAAAAAAAATCAAAAAATCAAAAAAGTAATCCTGGTCGTATCTCTTTTTCATTTGCATGCATTCCGGGTGACGAGCGAACATGATGAAGAAGATGGCTTTATCACAGAACCCCGTCTCGGAACGAGTGTATGGTTGAACGACATGGCCTACGATTCAAGATTGGTTTCTGTAATGATAAGTATCACAATCTTCATCGAAATGTAAGTATTATTGGCAATAATCATAACAATCAACTCGTATAAACATTGAAATACATAAATAAAAGGGAAGGGACGGTCCAACAGGGCACCCGATTGAAGCGATATGGACGGGGAGAGTGGGAATGCCAACTCCCTGTTGATAAAATTTCGTGGATAAAGGGCAGGCTCTTCTACCCACTCATTGGAGCATCTTCCTGTTTGGGGGATTGTCTTTTTGACCAATTGACTGATCAAGTTGCTGGAAGGAGATTCTTTATTGTTCCGTAGATGCGTATAGGCGACTTTGCCTATCGAGCGACTTTGCCTATCGATCTACCCAATCCGTTGAAGACAATCAGAGGTTATTAAGCTTGATCAAGACAAACAGAGAAGAGAGCCCGCTGCTGTCGGACTTAGTTTCCGTGCTACAATGGGTGGTAAACCACTATCATGCATCATGCATCATCATTTTGAATTTGAGTGTGGTTCGAACGGGTGTGGATTCAGTAACGGAAAACATTAACTTTCACCTTAAGATCAACGCTTTATACAACGGAAGTTTTGCACATTCGAGTCTTAAAGGTCAATGAAAATGTTATTTTGATGTACTTTTCCTGTCATCGTCAACATCAATCACAAGTAACACCTCACTCTAATGATTAATTTCATCAGAGAAAATGTAGTTCCGCTGAATCGAATGCAACCTATGAATAATTAAATAAATTTCCAGGGAAATTCGGGAATCTGGGGAAACGAAAATTTTGTTCCCGGGAAATCTCTTTTCCCGGAAAATTGTAAACTTTTTTCATAAACCATAAATGTTGCATTAGAGGCGAGAAATCAAAGTTTTAAGAGTTTTGGACATTATAGAAATTCTGGGAGCTTGCACACTTGAAAGTTATCGCCGTCTCTGGTAATTTTTACCGTAATATCAGCAAGCTGAACTCAGCATAGGCTTTAAATGAAGGTCAAAGTTTTAACAAATGTACTACTGTTGAGACTTCGGAAAAGAATACCGAACACGACAATACATTCTGAGTGTGTACAGAATGATAAAAGTTCCAAAAGTCACTGGAGCTCCAAAAGTTATCAAAGTAGCGTCCGGGGATAACATGAATAGCAGGAGTTGTAGAAACCACCCGTTGCTTTGAGAATTCTCGATTTTTTATGACCTTCCAGAGCAGTAAAAAAATAAGTACCGAGATTTCTGGAACTCTGGGAAACAGCGTGAATGCTTTAGAAGCTGTTCGAACTCCAAAAACTTCGTGATGGGCCAACTAAAGATTGGAACGTGCAAAAATTGGTCGACAAAAATCGTTTCTTTCAGTCAAAATTCATATCACAAAAATCTTCTTATTTTTCTTTTGGCAGTTCAGGGAAACAGTCCTATTATTGCGGTACGTTAGAAGCGTTAGAAGCCTATTGTTGCGTATGGAGACCTCCATACACAACAATAGGCTTCTAACGTACCGCAATAATAGGACTGTTTCCCCAATTTAATGGAAAAAAAATGTTCGTTTATTATTTTGGTTTGCCAAATCCGAACTGCCGTGCCATCCGCTTAACCTCTTCCATTTAATTTTGCACACCCAAGTAACATTGCAAGTTTTATCAAGGTTTTAATGCGTTCTACAAGTTCAATTCATGGTCTACAGAACCACAACCAAAATTGTTACTTGGGCAGTGTTCTCATCGACCTTATTCGCCGCCTAACGCCAGTTAGATTTAAACTGCTGCTCGTTTTCCATGGATTAATTAGTTTTTTTTTAGATTCCGGCCCTATACCGTTCGATAGGGCGGAGTTCTGGGCTGTTGGGAGGGTTGTGGTCTTTGGGTACCACATCCACGTTGTTCGCATCGTACCACTCGATTGTTTTTTTTCCATAGTGGCAGCTCTCCAAGTCCGGCCAGAACAGCGCAGGTCTATTATGTTACTTTAGGAATAGTAGCAGCCACTTTTCCAGGCACTCCTGGACGTAGATCTCTGGATTGATGGTTCCTGTAGTAATGAAAATGCCGCTTTTTAGACCACATGGTATGACCTGCCAGACGAGATATTTTTTCGGGAACTTCGATAGTTTGATGGTTTTGAAAATTTCAGCCACCATCCCTTTTCATTATGCGGTATAAAACTCCTGTTGCGGAAGCTGCTTGAAATCAGCCTTCACATAAGTTTCGTCGTCCATGACGACACAGTCGAACTTATTGAGCAGATTCGTAAACAGCTTTCGGGACCGCTGCTTTGCCAAGAGACGTTAATAGACGGAAGTACGGAAGCTGCTTTGCCGACGTGTTTTGTTTGTAATCTCGGTTCGCCAACTTCACCTTCACAGCAAAAAAAATAATTTTGATATCACGTCAAAGTGGATGCACTACAATCATGTCGAAAATATGGTGTAATATTACTTGCTAAAAAGGACAAAATTATCATTAATACAATGCATGAACTGACATTACGCTGCTTTTACTGCATTTGTTTATTTATGTGGTCATAAAAATTACATGAAATTTTCGACATGATTGTAGTGCATCTACTTTGATGTGATATCAAAATTATTTTTTTGCTGTGTTCTTAAACGTCGACAACCCGGCTCGCTGCACAGTAGTATGGGAGAAATTGAGCTTGCCAGCGACGTCCCGGATGGAGAGGTTAGGATTCCGCTTGTATGTCACCGCCACCTTCTTCGTCATCGCTGCCACGTCCGGATTACTATTACCACCGCTTCAAGGTTTCCTGGTGGTCGACAGACGCTCCCCGAACACTTTTAAAACGTTTGACACGGTCATTTTGAAAACTGGAGCGCAAACGGTGAAAACTCATCATAGCAACCATTGCACAGTGGTCCAGAATGTAGATTTAGGTAGCATGATATGTTGCAATTGAAACTTTAGACTGAAAGTTTCTTCTACAAAGTTGTTCATTATAGTTAGGCCCTCATTTTTATGACAATGAATTCTAGAGTGGTTCTTATTATCATTAAAATCAAAAATCTAACTTTTTTGTTTGAATAAATTAAGGTATACATTCTTAGGCAAAGTTATAACTGAGCTAATTTCAAGCAACTTTGTATAAAAAAACTTTTTGACTGATTTAGAGCTATTTTCTTGGATTGAGTTAGGGTGTATCTAAAAAAAAATGTTTTGCTCTAGTTTTCTTATTTCAAATTTCTCAGCAAAGGTGTCTTTAACTAACTTTTAGATCTTTAAAAGGCGCACATTTTTGCTCTACAAAGTTTGTCAATTGCCAGACATTCTTATGTCTGGCAATTTCCGAAGTATCAAAAGATGTTGAAATTGCAGGAATTACAAAAGGCCCGAATTTACCGAAGTTCTGGAAGTTATGGAATTCCAAGAGATCCCGCTGTTGCGGGTGATTTAATGTATTCAGGAAATGTATAGAGCTATCGGTGAGTAGAGTGATTCCTAAAGTTTATACAGTTTGGAGAATTTTCGTAGTTTTGGGACTGCTCCAAGATTTTGTGAGTTCTTGTAAATGATAGATTTTTTGTTATCGCCGCACCAACATTTCCCGGATCTGCAGAGCTCCGTTAGTTCCTGAAATTTCTGGAGCACTTGAAGTTCTCAAAACATACTTACTTCTTATGTTTACCGGTGTTCGCTGTTCGAATGTAAGACAAAGACCACTGAAAGAAGACAAAAAAGAAAGAAACATTAGGATAAAGAGAAGTTTGTAGTTTCAAGAGTGAAATGAGATTCGTTCAGAGATCAGCCTTCTATCTTTAAACAAAACTTCGTCACGTGGTTTACATTTTGATTGGACAGAGTGTTTGGTTCAAAGTGCTCACCACATCAAAAGTGGATTACTTCGGCGAAGGCGATAAGGTGCTGACGAAGCCATTATCGAATGATTTTGTTTATCGTCGGTAGGCAGAAATTCAACGCAATAGACGTTCTCAACGTAGCTTGTGGTATCAAAATCACCCTTATAGGGTTAAGATCCGATTTCCGTTATACTAAGCACAACCCGCACTTTACCTCTTTCCTCTTACGAACGGGTTTGATCAAATAATGGAATGCTTCGTATCCCTGGATTTGATAAAGAGTTACAAATTGTTGAGATATTGATTAAAATGATAGAAATCTAACTTCTTGGATTCGCTAGGAGCGCTTTTGAACTTCGAAAGTACGATTGATTCGTTCCTGTCAAAATCAGTGATATATTTGATGTTCCTGTTCGATATGACGAAAATGGGCGCTAATACTGAAGTAGTGCCCTACCCCATACCAGATATAAGCGATAAAGCCAACGAAATGACAGCAACCTATTCACATTCCATATGTAAATCACCGCTTCCCTTCTTCTTCTGCCGTAAGTATTTATGACCCACACACAACATATATTAGCAATAAGAATGCCCTCAGTTTGTGCTGCTCTTCTCGTTCCCCGTTCTGAACTGCCTTGACTGTCGAAAGAAGCTTTTCTTCATCTCGATCGGCAGAGATAAAACTCGGCCAAAGGAGGGGGCGCGAAACAGATAAAGATTTATTGCCAACACTTTTCCGATAGATTGTGTCGGATTTTCTTTTTTCTTCTTGGCATTGACGGGTCTACCACCGATGGGAGCCGAAAAAGGATAAGCATGCTTCGGTTGAGCCTTTGGCTGAAAGAAATTTTATGCCTCGGCATTCCGCTGTCCTCGCTGGTGAATGGAATAAGAAAGTTTGCTCGCTCGCTTGATGCTGAATCAAGAAAAAAAAGAAGAAGAAAGGATGATGTCCGGAATGAATTGGGCATTGACGGAATTTGAACGACAGGATTTGTATTTTTGCTGTTCGGGCTGTTCGATTCATGTCGTTTTTTTCTTTCTCTCTGTCTCTCTACAGGCTATTGTTCCGAGACAGAACGGTGGCCCTAATCAGATCGTTGCTCGGCTACAGTGATCGGATTGAAAGTGGATTTTCATCAATAGCTTTTCCGGTGGATATTGTGGCGGTGGTGATGATTGAAGGTTTCCAGACTGAATTTTTATTTGTTAAGGTTCAGGCTATGTCAGAACATATGGTGCTCATTTGGTTTGCATCAGCTGTGATATTGGAGATTTTGCCTATTTGGTGGAATGATGCTAGAGCTTTAAAAAGTTGTTTTTTTCCGGGCATCAACGTGTTTTTATATTTATTTGGCAGTACTTTAACGAGATTGCAATAGTTTCAAACAATGTATCAAATCAAAGCCATTAACCTGGATGTACTCAGAAGGATACGTCCGGAAGGTCAAATAAAGGAAAACGAATCCGGGCGGGGGAAAAATGGGTCCATCAACGATGTCTGCGGTTCGTGAAAAATTCATTTCCATATTGGATCCATCAAAATGGTCCTCCCTTCGCGTTGCGGAGAAACATTCCCGTCTACATGCAGATGACAGTGAGAGGCAGGTCTCAGTTTCCATAACTGCTTGCCACCCCCCAGGGGGGTAATCAACGAAAGACCCGCACCGTCATCAATGAGTAATCGCAAGTGGTTGGAATTTGTCTCGAGAAAGAACGTCGAACAGGCAGGTGAAAGATGTTGATAAGAGAGGGATGTTGTGCATCTTAAAGTTTCGAAGTGGCTCATTAATTTTGATTACATTTCACCGTTTGTTGACACGCAAATTGGGGTCAGTCATGGAAAGGTTAGATTTAGCATAGCAGGAGGAAGTGTGTGGTGATTCAAGTGTTACGAAGTTTAATTAGAAACGGTCCTTCTACCTTGGTCATTGCGTTGGAAGGAAGCTCTGTAAGGTTGATTTTCCAGAAGACCAAGATTTTTCTTAGCATGGGATTTTGGAACAATACTGAAGGCCTAGACTTTTAGATATTTGCGAAGAGTAAGATCCTAAAAATGTGATCAAACCAAAGAATATCATTCGGATTTAATTACCATATCTTAAAACAATACTCACGTAACCAACAAGACCCCTAAATATCTTACGAAAGCAGAAATATCTTACGAAATGTCAATACCCAAGTAACATTGTAAGTTTTATGGAGGTTTTAAAGCATGCTACAAGTCTAAATCATGGTCTACAGAACCCTTATAAAACCGAAATTGTTGCTTGGGTAGTGTGACCCAAAATAGTACTATGTCTGGAATCCTGGGGGCTCACCCTCCAAATGATAGCCAAGGATGTTGAATACCAACTTTTGCATGGTAGCAACTTATAAGGTTTGGTTTTAGATAGATGATCAAATTAAGCGTAGTTTGTAAACTTTGATTTTGCCACGAAATAATTCGCAAAATAGCAGATTTTGCCTAAAGTTGAAGAAAAGCAAACAACCAACTTGCAAATAATTACATAGAAATTAGAGACGTTTGACGCACGCACCCTAGCGGGTGCATCGCCGTGTCAAGATCTCTGACTAACCTAAAAAATGTATGAAATTAGCTCTGCCAAAATGATATATGGTGACCACTTGGAGCCAATGACCAGCTAAATATATCTAAAATCACCATTTTACTACATTCCGTATAGTTCTAAAGAAAAATCAAGGCCTACTTTGATCAAATTTACCCAGTAATCAATTTTACGGATGTTCCACATCCACTGACCACGATATTTGGCCTGGAACTACTCAAGAACAGTGTATGGTCATTTGTTCAAATGCCGTTTTGCCGAGTACTTGAGATGACTTCATGCTTTCCGAACCATTCCTAATTTGAAATATGAAATTGAGAAATGTAGAAATTTTAGAATTCCTGTGCTGTGGAAATCTAAGGCGTTCTTTTTCGGAGAAAGACAATTAATCATTTTGTTCGAACATTTTCCACAGAGATGGCGCCATTCCGCTGGTAGGAAGTGATAAAAATCCCCATATAGAAATTGAGAGAAGTGGGAATAATTCGCTTTCGGTGCATATTCAGGTCAAAAAAAGTGAACGACAACCTAAAGAATTTAATCAGGGACTTTGTAGTTCAGTTTTTTCCCGGAAATTATTGTTAAACAAGATACAATTTTATAAAAATTATTTTTCCCCATACAGTTTTACCTGATTTACTACCAGCACCCAGAGAGCCAAAAAATCAAATTTGAGACAGAAAATTTGCTCTCACGACCTCAATCTCTCAACATGCCATGTATTTTGTTGACACTCGATTTGTGATTTCCCTTTCACAGATTACAAAATAGAGTACCTGACACTACAAAACATGTCTGGTACCTCTATATATGCATTTGCTTTAACATTTGAAGTCCCTCCTTTTTTACATATTCTGCGCAAAATATGCTTTATGCCCCGCCCCCTACATAAAATTCGGCGGGAAATTCTGTGAGGGGTGAGCAATTTTGTGTGCAGAATGTGTAAAAAAGGAGGGACTTCGAATAATAATCTAAATGCATTTATAGAGATACCAGACATGTTTTGCACTGCAGTGTCCTCTGTGAACAATTATAGGAAAACAGATTGTGTCTAGTTTCCGATAGATGTCACCGCAAACAACAGCTGTGACATCTGATGGAACATGAATGCAGAAGCTTGATAAAATGATCAATTAAAAATACTATGTACTATTTTTGAATCGATTTTTTTTAATCGATCTTTTAAATCGATTCATTTTTCAAAATGGCACAAAAATGTTTCAAATATAACGGATCATAGGAAAGTTGAAATTTTAGATTATGCTCATTCAACTTCATTTTATTCGACTTTAAAGTTTAGCATTTGATAGTGTAATCAAAATTAAGTAATTACACGAGAAAACTCAAAGTTAAAACATTAAATGACTCACTCATTAGAATCAAATATAAAATATGCCTGGCCAGTGAAATAGGTGTGTTGCATAAAACTACAGTATAGAAAGCTTGAAAATAATCGTATAAGTTTTATCAGACTAATGACGCTAAGTAACCGCTGTGCCCTCCATTGTTAAGTAGAACCTAGTTCAATCTTCTTGTCATTGACTCAACCAAGCACTGACAAGTTTCCTCTGTTATAGCATACCACTCTTTTTGAACTGTGGTCCATAATTGATCCTTATTTGAAAATGCTTGACCAGATAACTTTCTTTTAAGCTCTTTCCATAAATTTTTGATGCGATTGATCTCAGGAGATTGGCTAGGCCATGAAATAACCGATACTTTATTTGCACGAAACCATTCCTTTACATACTTAGAATTGGGTTTCGGATCGTTGTCTTGCTGAAAATGCCATGAAAGAGGCTTGTTCTCTTCTGCATAAGGGAGGATAACCTTGTCCATGATTTCTTTGTATTCAAATCTGGTCATGATAGAATTAATACGGAAAATGGGACGTACTCCATACCAAGAAAAACAGCTCGAAATCATGATGCTACCACCTACATGCTTTACGGTCTTTACCGCGTACCGCGGATCGAACTCTTTAACGGATGGTCTACGTGAGAATATTTGATTTCATTTGACATGTGGAAGTTTTTGCTCATGATTCTTGATTAGGCAAGCGATACAATTCGTTGGTATTAAATAAACGATTTAAAGAACGAAAGATTAACATATGAAATAAAACGATTAGATGGTCTGTTACGATGTAAACAAATTCTGCTTATTTCTTGCACTTGTTCAGTTAAATTAACAAACCAGAGAAACATTAGCTTTAAGTGCCGAAGAATTAGTACAATTTTGTCATCAGTACGCTCGTACGCACGCATCGACCAACCGCCAAGTCAAAAT